GCATAGTATATTCTGGTGACCCCACCGCCCACAGATATGCCCCCGTGTCGAATTTTCCGCCCGCTGCAGCCGGCGTAGTACCTTCCACGGTGTATGGTTTCCCGCCCGCTGCAAACAGCGTAGTGCCATCGTCTGTGATCAATATCCCGCCCGCTGCGAGCAGCGTCGTTCTTTCGACAGTGTATGCCCCCTCCCCCGCTGACAGGAGTGTGGTTTTTCCCTCCGCTCCTCAAGTGCCGCATGGTATGGAGTTGGTAGCTGTTCCCGGGTTGCCATCGCCGGACGTCACCGTTTTTCATAAGAATAGACTAGTGAGGATGATGACCGTGGGTTTATTCCGTTCACAGAGCAGGGAGATTACGAGTGAGCTTTGTACCGCTTAGAACAAAGACAAGAATCGGATGACCCCTCCGAGTTTTTAGACTTGATGTTTGAGTCTGGATTTGCCAATGTCTTCGATGATGTTGCTTTCGCCGTTCCCGTTATGGCCCCGGGCAAGCGCCCTTTTTCGGTGGGGAAACCCACCAAGATTATTGACGTTAACCTTCTCCATGTTTCGTCCTCCCACGCCAATGAGTTTCTTTTGCGTGAGCTTGCGAAGCAGCACGGTCTCCGACTGACCGGTGTCCTGCAGCCTTGTGGTGGATGCCTGCAGGCGAAGGGGAAGAAGGCGGGCGTGCCTCACCAATTGGGCACGCGCGCGGAGCGGCCGCACGATCTTTGGCACATCGATCTGTGTGAGCCGATGACGCCCTCGCTGGGGGGTTCGTTTTTCATGATTATGTTCGTGGACAGCTTCTCGNAGATGCCTGCAAACGAAAGAAAAAACTGACGTGCGTCACCAATCGGGCACGCGCGCGGAGCGGCCGCACGATCTTTGGTACATCGATCTGTGTGAGCCGATGACGCCCTCGCTGGGGGGTTCGTTTTTCATGATTATGTTCGTGGACAGCTTCTCGCGGTGGATGAAGCTGTACGGGATGAGGCGCAAGTCGTACACCCTCGCCTTCGTCAAGACGTTCCTCGCCGACATGAGTGTCACCGGTGTCCCTCGCTATTTTCGGATGGACAACGGGGGGGAATTCATCGGACGCGACTTCATCGCCTTCTGTGACAACGCCGGCATCCGCCGTACGTACACGGCGCCGGGCACCCCGCAGCAGAATGGTCCGGCGGAGAGTGCGATCTGGCGCGTGAACAAGGCCGGCCACGCCGCTCGTCTCGAGGCACCCCGCCTGTTCCCCAAGATCGACTTCACCCGCGTCCCCGGCTTCGGGCGCGATGGCGAGCGACTCTGGCTAGAATCGTGTCACTGGGCTGCCGGCGGCTTCAACCGTTCTCCGACCAAGGCAAACGTCGGGTACAAGTCGCCGCACGAGCTCTTCACCGGTAGCCCGCCGCCGCTCCAGATCGTCCCGTTCTTGCAGCCGGGGTATGTGCGTGTGACGCGCGCGCGGAAGATGGATCCCCAGGCAGTGCTGTGCTGCTACCTCAACAACGGCGACAACCATCACGAGTCGGCGGTCAAGGTCCTCAAGTTCGCGACGGGGCGCGTGTGCATGACGAACAACGTCGTGTGGGTCTCCGACCGCGCGCCGTTGCTGACCCCGCCGCTGGAGCTGCCGGCGCCGGCGGACGAGGGGGGAGATTCGAATGTCGCCGCCGCACCGTTTCTAATTGAGTATATTTCACCGCCTCTCTTACCCCCCTCACCGTATGCCCGACCTCCCACTTCACCCGCTGCCATACTCTCACAGGCGCCGCCGGCAACTTCCACACCACCATCGCCGGCGGCGCCGTCTACCGCAGCCACACCACCGCCACCGGCCACCGCGCCGCCTGCAACGCCGCTCGCCGCCGCGCCACTGTTCACCATCACCGCGCCGCCTGCACCGCCGTTCGCCGCCGCGCCACCTTTTACCATCAACGCGCCGCCGGCACCGCCGTTCGCCGCCGCTCCACCATTCACCACCACCGCGCCGCCTGCAACGCCGCTCGCCGCCGCGCCNGACACCACCACCACCGGTCACCGCGCCGCCTGCACCGCCGTTCGCCGCCGCGCCACCTTTCACCACTGCCGCCTCGCCTCCGGCCTCACCGTTCACCACCGCCGCTGCACCGTCAGTAATACCGTCTCCCGCCGCCGTGCCGCCCGGTGCCGCGCCTTCCACCAACATGCCGCCGCTCACTACGAGGACCATCCGTGAACTGGACGTGGGGCGCGGCGACATGAGGGTTTCTGGGCGCACGAGGGCAGCCGCTAAGGACCAGGGGGGGGGGCGTGCGTCGTCAATGCCGCCCCTCTCTGCCAGGGCCAATCGAGAGCTGGACTTGGGACGAGAGACGCGGGTGCCAGGGAGGTTGAGGGGTCGGCGGGTGCGTTTTCAGGATGGGGGGGCCGAGCGGTCGACGTCACCTGGAGGGCAGGGACGCTCTCGCCCACCGCTTCGGGCTTGTATCCCTGCAGGACAAGGCAACGTTCCTGTCGACTCTAACCACTCGCAGCATCGTCGATGGGGGGAGGAAGGAGATCCCGAGTTCAGCCGGAGGACGTGATGGAGCGGAGCCGGGGGGGCGAGAGCGGGAGGGCACGAAAACAGAAGGACTGCGTGAAGAAGTCCCATTTGCGTGCGCCACCTTGCTTGCCTCCCGCGAGGACATTGATCGCGCGATGAGGGATTTAGATCCCCCGGAAGTGGCACCGGACTTGCCACAGTGCTATGCGAGCGACTTGCGCGTACCCAAAACGTATAGGGAGGCTGTGTCCTCTCAACATGCTGACTTGTGGATACAGAGAAGGAGTTCAGAGGTCTGATGGAGGCTGGTACCGTTGAGAAAGTAATGTAGCAACCAGAAAGTGTTATCAAGGCGAAGTGGGTGTTTGATTGGAAATCTGATGAGTATGGATGGCCAACCAATGTGAAATCACGGCTAGTAGCGAGAGGAGATATGCAGCGAGTACATGTAGATTGTGGAGAAACGTATGCACCGACTGTAGCGGTTTCTAGCGTTCGCTTGTTGGCAGCGATGGCGTGTGAGCAAAATCTTTCTCTCCGTCATTTTGACATCAAGCAGGCATTTGTCCAGTCGGATTTGGATGAGGATGTTTTTATGCGTCTGCCAGAGGGGTGTGGTAGATTATCAGGTATGATCGTGAAGTTGAACAAGAGTCTATATGGCCTTAAGCAGGCATCAAGGCAGTGGCACTCACACTTGGCGAGGTGTTTGATTTGTTTGGGTTTTATTCAGTGTATGGCGGATACGTGTGTGTTTCGGTTGATTGAGGAGGGAAGAGTGGTAGTGACTCTGGTGGTACATGTAGATGATATATTTTCGATAGGAGAAGAGGAGAGGTGTGACCAGTTTGGCAGGGACCTCAACACCTTGGTACCTGTGAAGAATCTTGGGGACTTGAGATGGTACTCTGGATGTTTTNGATTGTGGAGGGAAGCGTGGTTGTGACTCTGGTGGTACATGTAGATGATATATTTTCGATAGGAGAGGAGGAGAGGTGTGACCAGTTTGGCAGGGACCTCAACACCATGGTACCTGTGAAGAATCTTGGGGATTTGAGATGGTACTCTGGATGTTTTTATGAGAGAGATTGGGATGCAGGAACTTTGAAGATCTCGCAGCAGACGTACGCTGAAGAGTTGGGGATGGAGTTTGGGGTAGAGTACGGGAAGGAAATTCCTCTTCCTGTAGGGTTGAAGCTTTCAGAGTTTGACCAGGATGAGGAAGTGGTATCATGGCCTTTTCGTGAGCTGATAGGATCATTGATGTGGCTGGCAACGCAAACGAGGCCAGATATCGCGAATGCAGTAAGAGCGGTAGCACGGTACTGTGCCTCTCCCATAGAAATTCATTGGAGAGCAGGGATTGGTATTTTAGGGTATGTGGTACGGACTAGTGACTTGGGTGTTACATTCAGGAGGGGTAGTGTAGCAAGGTTGAGCATGGAGGTGTTCGCAGACGCAGACTATGCAAGTAAGGCTGCCGATAGGAGGTCTGTGTCAGGGGGATTGGTGATGTGTGGGGGGGGATGTATTTCTTGGTTTTCAAGGACCCAGAAGTGCGTTACGTTGAGCACGACAGAGGCGGAGCATGTCACTCTTGCGGATGTGATGAAGGAAGTGTTGTTTCTGAGGCAGGTGTGGCGTTTCATGTTACCAGAAGCAGGCATGCCATGTATTCCGGTGTTCGAGGATAACCAAGGGGCTATTCAGTTGGCGCAAAACCCGATAAGCAACAGTAACTCGAAGCACATCGACGTAAGGCACCACTTTATCAGGGAACTGGTAGGCAGGAAGGAGATTTCGATTTTTCACGTGGAATCGGNAAGATATCAATTTTTCACGTGGAATCGGCGTATCAACATGCTGACTTTCTCAGGAAAGCACTACACGCGGGAGATTTTGAGTTTCATCGTAACTACGTGATGAGTATGGATTAATAT